AAAAAATGAAAGTATAAAAAAATAATATATAAAAAAACATATAACAAATAATAGTGCTTTTATTAAAAAAAAAAAAAAAAAAAAAAAAAAAAAACGAAATAATTCAAATATAATATTTATTTTAATTTATAATACTTAATAGTACTATGTTTTCTTGATAAAATTAATAGCCTTTTAAATAAAACTTTCTTCATTTATTAAAAAGATAATTTTTTTTTTTTTTAAAATTATTTTTTACTATATATACATATATATATATATATAATTATATATATATATATATGTAAATATATCTTTTTTTTTTTTTTTTTTTTTTTTTTTTTTANTTTTTTTTTTTTTTTTTTTAATAAAAGCACTATTATTTGTTATATGTTTTTTTATATATTATTTTTTTATACTTTCATTTTTTTTTTTTTTTTTTTTGCTCTACCCAGTGGGTAAACATGCAATATAAAAAATTGTTAAAACCATTAAGATTCAATAGTTATATATAAAAAGCATTATAAATAGAATAAAATATTTTTTATTTTTACATTTACATTATCAGATATATGACAAACATTATCTTCACATAATTTATTTAATATTGTAATATATTTTTTAAGAGATTTTTAATGCAAAAAACCGTATTTCACGTGAAAAAATTTTTAATTTTTAATATTTTTTAGTTAAACGAAAAATATACTATAGGAAATATTAAGACTGTTTAAAAAAGGAAAAATATTTCATATGAAATTATTGTAATTCATTAGTATAATTTTATGCATATATATCCATTGGTATATATATGTATATTTACATATATAATATATTTATATATTGTGTATATGAATATACAAATTTTATATTTATGTTTATCTATATTTATAAATGACTATAAGACATAAATTCTCTTCACATGTTTTTTAATTTGAATTTGTAATGTTTAAAAATTTTGCATATTTATAGTCTTAAAAATTATGTGGACATATTTTTTATTATTTTTTCTACTTTTTTATAGAAGGCAAACAAAGTTTCACTATTGTAATTTGTTTGTTATATGAATATTTTTTTTTTTTAGTATTTCATATTATATTTTGCTGTATAATATATTTAGAAAAATGTTCACAGAAAAACTGTTATTTAAAAATTTTATTTATTTATAATAAATTTTCTTATAAAAAATTATTTAGATTTTTATTACAAAATAATATTAAAAAAATGAAAGTTTATATTTAATATTTAAATATAATGTAAATGTTTACCTTTTTATGGTGAAAATTAATTTGATCTTATATTTGTATGCTTAAGAACGCCTTTGTAATATATAATAAATAATATCATTTTTTTTTTATTGATAGTAATAATAAAAATGGTGCATCACTTTCATTTATCTTTATTTTTTTTTTATTAGTTTAAAGATGATATATTATTTTATTTATTATACATGTAATTTTTTTTTTATTAGTGTAATTACTTTTATTAAATAAAATTTCATGTATATATATATATATATGTGTATTTTTATTAAAATATAAATATTAAAGTTTTTATTAATGTAAAAAAGTTATTCATACTAATAAAAAAAAAAAAAAAAAAGAAAAATATTAAAACAATTTTTTTTATTTTATGATTTTAAAATTTATGGTTTATGTATACATTAAAAAATTTCTTAATGAGTGCTTTATAAAATATTTAGAAACATTAAGTATATATGATTTATTAAAAATATTTTTTTAACTTTTAAAATAAATTAATTTGGATTTATATTTAAATAATTCATTATAGATGACAATTTTTTAATAGAATATATTAATTTTATTATGCTATTATTTTTAAAGAGTTATATTTTTTTAATAAATATATATATATATATATTTATATGCATACTAATATGTTGATGAAATTTACACAATAACAAAATTTTTTGTTTCTAACAAGATTTAATTAATCATCAGAACAAAGTTGTATGAAAAAATATTTTGGGATTGTATGCCAAATATTTGCATTTATATTTATTTATTAAAATTACTAGAAAATTGAAATTTATATAATTTTGTATATATTTTAATAAAAAAAAAAATTTAATAATATTTTTTAAAGAATAATAACAATTTCAATCAATAATATCTACAATTTTTTGTATTTTTTTTAATTAATTGTTAATGAATAAAAAATGATAATATAAAATATATGTAGTTTAAAAAAAAAAAAAAAAAAAATACATTTTTTTAATATTTAATAGATAAGCATACAAATATATTTTTTTTTCTTTACTGGTATTTTATGGATTTTTTGTGATGCATTTTATAATATTTTATACATCCATATTAAGTGATACATCAAAAAAAAAAAAAAAAAAAAAAAAAAAAAAAAAAAAAAAAAAAAAAAAAAAAAAAAATACAGAAAATACATGTATTTTGAATAATGCACTTTTTAAACTAATTTTTACTTATTCCACAATATTTATAATGAAATTGTTTTTTTTATATAAAATATATATTTTTTCATATAAATTTTAAAATGAAATAGGAAATATTTATTTTTTTATATATATTAAAATATGCACATGTATAAATATATATATATATATGTATATATATATGTATATATATATGTATGTATGTAAGTATGTATGTATGTATTTATGTACGTATATATGTATGTATATATATATGTATGTATGTATGTATATATATATATAATAATTTTTATTTCTTATAAAAATATAAATAAAATATATTATTTTAAAAAATGGTAATAAAAAAAAACAAAAATTATGCAAATAAACCACAAAAAAGAAATAAATTTAAAAATATCATTGCAGAAGATTATAGTTCTGAAGTAAGCTTGACAGATATTGGAGAACCTGATTATAATGATGTTTTTGAGGTTGAAAAAATTGTAATGGCAAGATATAAATTTAATAGAAAGAAGAAGAAAAATGGTAAAGAAGAGAGTTTAGATAATTTTGAATTTTTTATAAAATGGAAAAATTATGATAGTGATGAAAATACATGGGAACCTTTTGAGAACTTAAGTTCAACATTAAAAAGTCAAGCAAGAGAAGCTGCATTAAGGTTGAAAACAGAAATGGATAATATGGAAAAAAAAAGAAAAGGAATTAATATTAATGATAATCAATCAGGTGAAAATGTGACAACTAATGAAATGGAAAATAATTTTTTAGCTATTGAAGATTCTAAAAATATAAGTAACAAAGTTGAATTAGAAAATGTAAATAAAAATAATTGTGTTACAAGTTTAGATAATTATTTAATAAAAAATAATAATTTATTAAGTGATATAAATATTAATTCATGTTCTAAAGATCACCATGAAAAAAGAGATGATCCTATAAGTAGTAAAGATTATGAAAATGTTAAAAATATATTATGTATTTCTGATAGAAAAAGTAATGATAGATTTAATAATCAAAATAATGAACATATCGGAAATTCAAAAATTAATATATTAGATAACATTGATAACAACTATTATGTAGACAAAAATAATATATACAACACAACTATGAACAGTAATGAAAATGTATTTGATAATTTATCTAATAATCCAAATGAACATATAAATCAGAATAATATAAATGTAAAAAATAATGTTCATGTTTTGGATAATTTTAATAGTATTCATAATGAGGAGAAAAACCAAATTCATCATACAAATATATGTAATGAACCTAACATTTTATGTAAAAATAAGGAAATTAATTATACTAATTTTTCAAAAGGCATTTCAAAAGGTGATAAATTTATATGTAACAAAAATAGAGATAAGAGAAAGTTTGAATTATTTAATGTTGGTAATAGCGATGAACAAAATAAGGATATAGAATTGGGATGTGATAAAAGCTTGAAAAAAGTTAATTTAAACAATGATGGATTATTTAAAGAAGATTTTTTATCAAAAAAACAATACGATTCATCAAATTTTTCAGAATTATTATTTATTAGTGATGAAATATATGAACAATATGAAACAAAAAATGATTTGAATTTATCTAAAAAACCTTCAGAAGATGAAAATTCTAATAATCAATTAACAAATAATGATGATAATAGTGTATCCAATGTTACAAATGAGCTATTATGTTTAAAAGATGATTATCCTAAGAATACTGGAAGAGATAAAGATGTAATCAAAGAGTCAAAAAATGAAAATATTAATGTAAAAATAAATAATAAATTTATAATTACTCATATCAAAAATAAAAATTTTGAAAAAGAAAAGATAAATATTGATAATAATTATAGTAATAAAATGAATGAAAATGGGAATAATGAAAAAATAGAATGTGATGATAAATTGAAGTTGGAAGAGAAAAATAAGATAATAGAAAAAACATGTATAAACAATAATGCTAATTTTATAAGTAAAAATTTAAAAAAAAAAGTATCAGATAAAAAAAAATTACAGAAAAAAATTCATACAGGTAATATTTTTAAGGAGAAATTAAATACATTAAAAAAAAATATGAAAAAAATCTCAAAAAATTCATACATGTTTAAATTAAATATGCATGATTTAGAAAATAATTATGAGGACAAATTGTTAGATTTTGAAGAAGTAAATAAAACAAATGAAATAATAGACAAAAATAAATTTTCTGGTGATAACACAAATATATGTATAAATGACCATGCGAAATTTGCAGAAAAAATTCAAGAAAAAGATAAGTCATATTTATGTAAAAAAATGCAAAATGGAAATAAATTGTATGAAAAAAACGATTCATATTTAAGTAAAGGTGGCTTTGAGGTTAATACATTACGTGAAATTGATAAAAACGAGGAAAATTGTGAAATTATTAATGAAGATAATTGTAATAGTTTAAAAGAGAAAATAACTGAAGAAATATTTAATAAAAAAAAAATGAATATTTCTAATGAAAATGTATATGAAGAAAAAAATATTATTGATTTTATTGAAGTAGATAAAAATTCAATGGAGCATAATAAGAACAGAAATGTGATTCGTAAACTAATAAATAATAGTGAAAATCATATAATAGGTGAAGAATCAAATATCGAAAATACGGAAAATGAAAATAGAAAATACAAAAGCAAAGGTTTCGAAGTTATACAAAAAATAATAGAGACAAATTCAAGTGAAAAAAAAAAAAAAATTGAAAAAGAAGCATATAGCAAAATAAATGAACATAAAATTATTAAAAAGAGTGAGTATGCAATCAATAAAAAATTTGTACATCCACACTCTCAAGAACAAAATAAAAATGTAATAGAAAGAGCAGATTACTTCAAAGAAATTAATGATCTTGAAAAAAAAATGATATATCCAAATGACAAAAATATTACATCAATAGTTAATGACATAAGTTATTATATAAATGATAAAAATGAATCAAAGTTTAAATCAAATAGAAATAATAATGAAGAAATAGAAAAATATGTTTTAAGTGTTTGTAATCAAAGTAGTAAAAAAAATAATTCAAATATTTCTAAAAAAATAGATAAAAATGATACTTCTAATACAGATAAATATATTAAAAAAATAAAAAATAAAGATTCAGAGTATACAACAAAAAAATACAATGAAAAAAAAAAAATACAAGTTGATGGAAGTTTCATAAATAAAAATAATGAAAATAATCAATTAAAAAGGATCCAAGAAAATAATAAAAATATACTTATTCATAATGAAGCAATTAAAAATAATGAAAATATTAGCTATCTATTAGAAAAATTTGATAAAGTAAGTTTTACAAAACAAATGCATCATAGTAAAATTGAGAGAAGAAAAAAAGATAATGTAAAAAAAGGTAATAATAGAAGCAATAATAATGATAATACGCTTAACATTAATTACGAAAATAGTATAAATAATAGTACTAGTATGAATAATGAAATGGTGATAAATTTAAAAGATATATTAAATATAGAGAATGATAAATATGATTATTATATTAATTTCCTTGAAAATATTTTGAACACATTAAAGGAAAAACGCCCCTGTAAATCAAGTGACTTGATTTTGTTAGATGGATTAAAATCAAATTTAAATAATAAAGATAATTCAGTTCAAAATTCTTCAATATTATCCAACATTAATGTGCAGAATATATCTTATAATAAAAATATTTACAATAATTCATCTATAGATCCTAAGGAAAGTGGAAAAAATACTATCGATAAATTTGATAAAAAAAATAAATTTTCAAATGATTATGTAAAAATTATCAAATCTTCCAAAAAAATTTCTCAAGGAAATTGTATTCATGATAATAATGAGACAAAAAAAATGAAAATTAAAAATGTTATGTACATTTCTCATGATGTTATTGAGAATAATAACGCACCGTGCATCATAAATAACGAATTAAATGCTGAAGATTTAAGCATTTCAAGTAACAAAAGATTAAATGAAAATAACAATGAGAAAAAAAAATCAAAAAGAATTTCTTCTTTATGTAAAAATAATGAAAAACAAAAAATTGAGAATACTGCGATTCCAAATAGTAAAATATCTGTAAAAAGTAAAAATTTATTAAAAAATGAAATAAAAGAATCAAATATTTTGCGTTCATCAAATAAAAATAATTTTAATAAGGATAAAATTAATGATTATCAATTAGATACATTAAATATAAATGATATTAAAATGAATTATATGGATAGGTATAATCAATATTATGCAGCTATCGATGGCCTTGTTTTAAATAATATTAGCGCTCTTATTAAGAATATGAATATCATAAATTTTTATAATTCACAAAATAGAAATTGCATTAATTTTATAAATGGAAGTTTTCAAGTGCATCTTTTAGAATCATATACCAACATTTTACTGTATTTTGATATATTTAACGATTTTAGAAATTATAATTTTATATGTAAAAATTGTGAGTTTATTAATATTCTATTAGATAATTTTTGTGACTCCAAAACTACAAATAGAAATTCTGGCGTAGATAATTCATTAAATGATATATCAAAAAATATTATGCTATTTGATGAAATATTCAGATTAAATAAAAAAATGAATATATTTTTTAAAAAAATTTTATTATCAATAAATATAAAACCAAATCAATTTTTTTTTCCTTCAGTTGAATATTTTGAAAAATTGTATATTTATTTAAATTATAAAAAAGATTCATCTAAAATTACAAATGAAGATGCAAATACAATTAGCCTAGTTAAAAAAAGTAGTAAAGGTGTTAATTTAAAGGTTAATAAATCTTTCAAAGATATCAATAGCAATACATCACATGAATACATTGAAAATATAAAAGATTACAACAATAATGATGATTGTTATAATAAAAATAGTTATGATAGAGGTAAGAATCGTATCAATAATTATGAACAGGATGGCTGTCAAACAAATAACTCAAATATTCTAGAGGAAAATGTGGAAAATAAGATGGTAAGTGAAAATAATTTAAAAAATGATGATCATTCTAATTTAGAAAAATTCAAACAAAGGAAAATAATAACTGTACCAAAGCATAATGGAAATGAATATTTAGAAAAAATGCTTACACAGAAAAAAAACAATAACGAAGTTCAAGAAAAAAATATTCCATTAAATGAAATGAATAAAAATGAAGAAATTTTAAATATTTATAATAATAAAATTAACAATATTATGGAAAATAAAGTATGTAATGATGATACAAATTTTATACAAAAACATAAGGGTTGTAATATCGTAAATAAAAACTTAAAATGTATTGTAAAAGAAAAAAATGCATGCATTATAAAAGGTAAACAAGATGATAATATTGATATTATTAATCATAGTGATAATCATTTGTTGAATGTAAATATTGTAAAAAACATGGAAGAAAATAAATGTCATACAATAAAAGAATCTACAATTTTAAAAAAATTCGTAGATGATAACATGCGTATAAATAATGGAGGTGGAAATATATCAAATGTGAGTACATACAATAATAAAGATAATTCAAATATTGTATTGAGTAATGTATTATGTAATGGAAATAAAGATTTGGGAGATATGTGCAATTCAAATGATGTGATTGATAAAAAATGTATAAATGTTATTAGTTTATATAACAATTCAAATATTATAAAATATGTAGATATTAATAATTTAAATCGAATTAATTTAAGTCAAATAAATGTAGAAGAAAAAACAATTGCAAATGATAATTCAAATACGAAAAATGATACAATGGCTATAAATACTAATGTTAATAATAAAATAACAAACCAAACGAATGATTTAAATAACTTAAATAATGCTAAAGATGACACATGCAACATCAATATGATGAATGTTTGTCAAACACAAATTATTCATGGGAATATTAACAGTAACAAAAACAAAATAATTAATGAATTTAATAAAGAAAAAAAAAATAAAAAAGAATTCAGTGAATTTCAGCAAAATTCTGTAAATAAGGATAATAGAAAAAATGAAGGAAGAAAATGCCTAATTAATAATGCATCAAATGATTTCAAAAATAATGAGAGAAATGAAACCATGGTTTGTATTAACGATTTAGAAAAAAATAATTGCAATGAAAATATGGATATTATTACTAGTAATTTTAAATTCAATAAAAGAAGTAATAGTAATAACAGTACCAATAGTAATGATACAAATAATAGTATAAAAAGTAACCATGATATTAATGATTGTAAAGGAATTAATAATCATAGTAATACTAAAAATATGATGGAAAATGACAATGAAAAACGGAAAAGTATACCTTTAAATGATTGTAATGATTTATTGATTTCCGAAAAACATTACATATCAGATGAAGAAAAAAAAAAGAACAATCTCAATAATTTTTATAGTTCAAAAGATAAAGCATATGAAGAATTAAATGATTCAAAAATAAATGATATGAGAGCTATTTATACCTATTATGATTCAGTAAAAAATATTGATGATATAAAATATTGTGAAAAAAGAATTGAATTATATAAAAGTACAAAATCTATAATAACAAAATACCACGAATTTTTTGTTAACAATTGTTTAAATCTGAGAAAACATTATCCAGATATGCAAATGAATTATTTTGGTGCACATAATAAATTAAATTTATTTAATTCATATGATTTAAAAGATTTAGATAATTATTTTATTAAGAAGAATGATAAAAAATACATAAGTTGTCATATCTGTTCATATAATGAAAATATTTGTTACCTTTCATGGATAGCATATTTTGAAAAAGAAGCATTATTTTTTAAATCTCAAAAAAAAAAAAAAAATAGGCATGCAAATATTGAGGAAAATGCATGCTCATTAAATTCTCCTGATAGATCGAGGAACAATGCATGCATTAATATGTATTCCGATTTACGTAAAAAAGAAAAAAATTATAGGAATTCAAATTCTTTTATTAATTCAAGTGTTCAACAAAATAATGAACAAATAGATAAAGGTGATACCTGTTTTATCTTAGACGATAACGATAGTTGTAAACAAAAGGATGAAAACATTGTTAGTGATATTACTAATAATCAGAATGAAGTAAACAAAAATGATTTAAGTGGTGATGATAACTCTAAAAAGAATAATATTTCTGAGGAGTTGAACTTAACAAATATTAAAGAAAAAAATGAAGACATCATATTAATACATAATAAAATTAATTGTTTGAATAAAACAAAAAATAATATAATTGAAAATAAAAAATTATTGAGTAAAAATGTTCAAAATATAGAAAATGGGAATTTAGAGGAGAATATTATAGAAAAAAATTTATTAGATGCTAACAGAAATTCAAGTTTTGAAAATAGAGATGTTAACATAAATGATTCTTTAAAAAATATTCATAAGAATATAATTATTGAAGAAAATAAAAATTCAAGTGATAAAATTAATAGTATTGTTAACGAAGAAAATGATGTTAGAAAATCAAGAAATACAGAAAATTGCAATATTTCATATATTTTTGGGGATAATGAAAATGAAGAAATTGTTGATTCTGGTTCTAAAAAAAATTACATTTACAATTCATATGATTTAAATACTAAAAAAAATATAAACAATAATAATATGAATGATAATGCTGATCTTAATAATAATGGTAACAATATTCATAGTAGCATTTCAGGTGTATCTCTTATAGAACAGAAATATAATAATAATGATAATATAAATGTTAACAATTATAATCAGAACAAATTAAGAAACCCAAATGATCATAATTTTTTATTTGAATCAAACGAAAGGGTAAAAATATCCAACAGGAGATTTTGTGATATGAAAAAATTTCTTTGTTCAAAGAAGACTCTAATAACCAGACTAAATTTGATAAAAGAAAAGGGTTACATCTGTTTATTTTGTAGAAGCTTGTTAAGTGTTCCTGATAACTTAATTAAAAAAATTCTAAATATAAATATATTTAAAATACCTCAAGAATTAAATGAGGAAGTAGATGAATATATGTTTTTTAAATTAGATGATACAGATTTCAGAGAATTATCAGCAAATTCAAAAAGACTTGAATTAAGAGGTATAAAGCTTGATATGCAAAGATTTTGGAATCCCTATATTAGTTTTCCGAAGCATTTTTCTATTGTTATTAATTATAAACATACTATCAAATTACCTTATTTTGATAGAGCAATAAAAAGAGTAGATCGTGAAATAGTAATTCCTTCCAGATATTTAAAACATGGTTGTAACGTTATTATGCTTTCATTAAAAAATAGAAAGGCAGAAAAATTTTTAATCCCAGAAATGTTTTATTGTTTCACATTATGCATTATTAATAATATTGAAGCAAGTACTCTTCACGTTGCTTGCCATATTATTAAGTATTCTATTGTTGAAGAAAAACTATGTAAATTACATTTAGCTAATTTGATAAAATCTAAATTATGTGAAGATAATGATATCCAAATTGTAAATGGGCAAAATAACACTATCAACTTTTTTTGCCCTTATACATATTCGAAAATAAAATTACCTTGTAAAAGTATTTCTTGCAAACATTTAGACCCTTTTTGTTTTGCTTCATGGATTATTAGTCAAAATAAATTGTAAAAAAAAAAAAAAAAAAAAAAAAAAATTTTTAGTGGATATATGGAAAATTACATTAATAAATTAGTGGATATATTTATTATTATTATTATTATTTTTTTTTTTTATAATTTATTAAAAATATTTTTTTTTTAGAGCACCAAATAAAAAATGGAAATGTCCTATTTGTGATGTTAGTTGTTTTCCTCATGAAGTTATGATTGACTCATTCTATAAAAATATTTGTGATTCCTTGAATGAGAACAATTTGAATGTAAAGAAAAATTATTTAATATTTTTTATAAATTTTATTAATATTTTTTTTAATATTTTTATTTTAATTTTTTTATGCACAGACGGAAGTTTTGTATGATTGGAAAAATGGAGATGTATTAATAAAACCAATCACGAAAAATTCGGGTGCTACCAAAAAAAATAATAACGATGTTCTAGAAATAGATTAGTAAAAAATTTTTTAGCCTTTCTTTTCCCCTACAGTATTCTAATAAAGTTGTATCATTCAAACTTTTTTTCAATGGTTCTTATGAGCTAAATGTTATATTTTATCAGGAGTTAAGAGATAAAGAATTATTAAAATCTTTTATTTTTTTTTTAATTTGAACAATGTTTTTAGATGATTATAATTCGACATAATAACTAACATTATGTAGATGTTAATTTTTTTAAAGGAATATTTTACAAAAAAAAAAAAGTTACATAAAAAAAATAGTACACGTAAAAATTAGATTAATAAAAATATAAAAAAGATATTTGGAAACTGTATTATTAGTCATACTTAAATGACATCGCATGTTGGCAAAATTATAAATATTTTTTTTTATAAAAAATTAATATTTTTTAAAAAGAAAAAATATAAAATTTTGCCATAAAAAAAAAGTGTAATATTATATTAATAAAAATATAGTACAGTTTAAATTATATATTTATATTATTGTGAAATTTACGAATTATATATAACTAAGAAGATTATACCTATACCATATTTCATATATTAATTGAATAAATATTATTTTTTAATATAAATTTTTTAAATAGAAATAAAAATATATTTGTGTATTTTTATTCCATTGAAATATATGCAAAATTTTTTTTAAAAAAGAATAATTCTATTTAATTTAATTTTTACAATGAAAAAGGAGTGTTTTATAAATAGTAATGTCATTTTAACAGTTTTATAAAAAATATCATTTTGACAAAAATATACCATTCTTATCAAGATGGAATTATTATATTAACCAGAATAATGGTAAGAAACTTTTTCACCAAAATATATTTTATGAAAAAGGAATAAAATATTTCATGTATAAAAATGTAAAATAAAGATTATATATTTAATATATATAAAAATAACATATTTTTTGAAAATATAATAAAAAATAACCTATAACAATCTTATTTTATAATATTTCATAACATTTTTTATTTTATTTTTATATGAATTTTTTTTTCTTCTTTTTTATTAGTTTCCTACCTATTGTAAATTTTTCTATGCAAAAAAAAAAAAAAAAAATGTTATTAATAGTGGATACATATAAAATAACATCATGCGTTTATTTTATTTCTTTATTTATAATAGTATTTTTCAACTTTATCTCTGTATTTTATGTATTTTTTATTATTTCTATTGTATTTAGAATCTTTCATTTTATATTTTTATGTTTTAATATTTTCTTAATATACTTTAATTTTTAAAATTTTATATAAATCATTATATATTTATTTGTATGTATCATACATATCAAATAAAATATATATTAGGCCACGTGCACATTTTATTTCATTATATAATATATTTTTCATTTTATTTACTGTTCTTTTTAACATAATTTTTATTTTTCTTTTCATTTATTATGCTTCCTTATGATTTATTTTTGTATTTTTTTTAATATGATTTTATATGCATATTGCGACATATAATTTGGTGATAAAATAAAAAAAATCATTCATATACTTTCCATATTTTTAGCATATTTTATTTTTTTTTTTTTTGTATTTTTAAATATTCTTCATTTTACAAAATTATATTTTGTTATTATTCATATTTTTCTTATATACTATGTATATTTTATATTTTTATTATTTTTTTAATATTATATATGAATTTCCAATTTACTCAGTAACATTCGATGATATATTCTGTTTTATTTTCTTATTTTTTTTGTATTTCGCTTTATTCCTATATTTTATTATATTAATGTAGTATTTTTTTTATTAAATAACATGGAGATACAAATTAAAATAAATAATTTAACATAATAACATCATTTAAATGTATTTTCATTTTAATGGTTTTAAAAAAAGAAGTATTCTACATTACTATTTATATCAATTTTCGATTTTTTACATATTATTATATATTTTTTTTTGTGTGTTATATTTGATTCAATTTTTTTTAAATTGTATCGTACAGTATTTTTATCATTCTTTTTACTTTATATTTTATAATTTTTATATTTTATAATTCTTATATTTTATAATTTTTATATTTTATAAATTGAATATATAAAGTCACAAGGAGGCGAAATAAACTGCATTCACATGCTTGTTTTATTTTGTAGTATTTTTATTTTAAATTATTTGTTAATTTTTTTTTTTATTTTTGCATTAGTAAATATTTTTCTTAATTAAGTTTAATGTTAATTTTAATTTTACTATATTCTGTAATATTTTTTTATTTTATAAATTTTTTCATTTTATGAGAGTTGTATTCTTTGTATTTTACTTTTTGCTATGTTTTAGGTTATTATTCTTTTTATTTGATCATGATAATAATTCTATTATAAAAAAAAAAATGATGTTGTTACTAAAAAAATAAGTTAACATTTTTTATTTTATTTAAAATGTTTCTTCTTTTATTTTTTTTTTAAATCTTTTTATTTTTTGTATTATAACATTTTTTATTTTATTTAACTTTCATGTGTTTTTTGTTTTTAATGGTTTTGCGAGTTCTTTTTATTTTATTGTATTTTATATAATTTTTTTTTTTGCATTTTTTTTATAATTTTTTCATTTATTTTTATATTCATTTTTTTTTTATTTAAACTCATTTTAAATAAATAAAAAATGAAAAATAATGTTATCAGATCATGTAAAAAAAAAATTTTTTTAAAATGAGACATTTTATTAACAATACATTTCATTATATATACTCCATGTATATTTATTTATTGTAGTTTTTGTAAATTAAAAGTTTATAATAATTATTATAATGATAAAAACATTTCAAATTTTTCTTTTTGTTAATGATATAAACATTTCAAATTTTTGTTTTTGTTAAAAATATAAACATTTCAAATTTTTATTTTTGTTAAAAATAATTTGCACATTATAATTGTAGGAATAAATAATTCAAAAATTAATATAGTGTAGAACAAAATTTTTTTTATAAAAAACCTTTCAATAATTTTCATAGTAATGAACTATAATTATGTATATTTATATACATGTATTTTTTCTTGTAATTTTTTGAAAAAAAAATATATTTTGGTTTTAATGGATTTAAAATCGCAAAAAATATACCACATAAATGTTTTCAAATAGTATTTAGTGAATTATATATTATAAAATTTTTAATATGATAAAATATTACTAATTTTAAATTGGGATTTTTGATAAACTTACACTATAAAAGTAGATTTAATCCATTGAAAGATTATTAAATTGTTAATTTAATTTATAATTAAAATATTTTTTAAATAATATATTTTTATTTGATTATAATGAATAAAAATACATTATGTGATGCCATTAAAATATATTTTTTTTACTATGTAACATTATCATTTTTAAAGTCTAGAAAATTAAAAAAATAATTTGAATGATAATTTTAATTATAATACTTTTGATTTTGTTTATTTTAATACTTATAATTCATAAATAATAAAATAACTATAAATTTTTTTAAAATTATATTTTTAAAAAAAATTAAAAAATTTCAAGTTATTTTCTATTCCATTTCATTTCATATATTTTATATTATTTTATTTTATTTTATTTATTTTTTTTTTTTTTTTTGTGTTTGAAAGAAAATTTTTTTTTTTTGGCAAATCATTAAAAACATTTGAAAAAATTTAATTACATGTTTAAAAAATAAAAAAAAAATATTAAAAAATTGTAAAATATACATATATATATTTATTTGTATGTATGTATATATTAAGGAATAGAATATTGGAGAAATTTAGGATATAATTTATATTTATTTCTAAGTATATCATTATTTTCAAATTATTAATTAATTGGGATATTTCGTTTGTAATTAAAATTAATTTTTCATAAATTCCAACAAATTATAATTGCATGCATGCTTTAGCAAATGTAATTTTTTCAAATAGTTGGCAACAGTTTTAATATTTTACAATATATAAATATATATATACATTCATTAAATGTTAAGTAATTTTAACGAAGCTTTGCTTTTTTTTTTTTGTTTAAATTGAAATATCTTTCTACTTTAATTTAGTCTATATTTATATTAAATGAAAAATATTATATATAAGTATAATAATTAAATTTAATTTAAATGTGAATTTACAATACTTAAAAAATTTGATGTGAAATAAGTGTTTTTGATTTATTTCTTTTTTAATGTGTTCTGGATAAATTTCTAATAACACATGAATATACATTTAATAAATATATTATAACTTTTGTACTTATTTAAATTACAGGTTTCTTATAATTTATATAAGTGTAATAGGATATCTTTTTCATATGTATTTAATAATTGTAATAGTTATATACACAACATTTTTAAAGTTTTTTAAGATTTGTTCATTAATTATTTAATAATGTAATCCATTCCTTTTTATATATAAACTTTCTTCTCATGAGTTTTTTTTTATAATTTATTTATATTTCATACAATTTGAATAATTTTCGAAAATATATATTAAAACAATGAACAATTTATAATTCATAATGAAATATATTTTATTAAATTACTACATAGGTAATATAGGCAATAATTTTTTTTTTATATTTCTTCATAATGGTAAATTGGAAATTATTGATGATTAACAAATTTTCATTTATAAGAAAAATTGTTAATTTTATATTTTTAAGTATAATTCGTAATGAATTTAATGCTTATCTATGAATATTGGAAGAATTAAATTTTTAGGGGTAATTTGTATATAACTAATTTTTAAATTATTCGTGATATATTTAATATAATTATTATAAAGAGAAGAAAAAATATAAATTTATAATTTCTACAAATTTTTATTTATTTTTATGTTATTCTAGTGATGGAATAATAACATAATACCATTAACAAATGGATTTTTTAAAAAAAAGAATTGAATGTGTGTAGATTTTTATATAAAGAAAACTTTATATAATAAAAAAAAAAATATATATATATAGTAAAATAACGTAATGTTCAAATTAGCATTTACAAATTTTTATTTTAAGAATATTTATTTCTTCCTGTAGAACATCA